ACCACTTTGAGATATCATCTAACTCCGGTAAGATTAGCCCACATCACAACAACCCAAAACTACAGATGTTGGCGTGGATGTGGAAAGAAGGGAACTCTTTTACACTGCTGGTGGGAATGCAAGCTAATACGACTTTTTTGGAAAGAAGTTTGGAGAACACTCAAGGAAATAGAAGTAGACCTACTGTTCGATCTTGTCATTTTACAACAAAGACATCTGCACCAGAATGTTTATTGCAGCCCAATTTCATAATAGCCAAGACATGGAAACAGTCCAAGTGCCCATCGACTCATGAATGGATTAACAAATTATGGTATATGTACACCATGAAATACTATGCAGCCATAAAAAGGTGAGTTTACGTCTTTTATGTTTACCTGGATGAAGTTGAACATAGTCTTCTTAGTGAAGTATCTCAAGAATGGGAAAAAAAGTGTCCAATGTACTCAATACTGCTATGAAATCAATATACAATCTCCTACACATTCATGCAAATGGTAAAACGTAACTACAGTCCAGAAAGTAGAAGGGAAGAGGAGAAGGAGGGGAGGGGGGAGATGAGGAGGATGGAGGGTATTTGGGGGGACCTCACCTAATGTGCATAACTCAATGGAACATTTCAAAACTATTAAGAAAAGAGTATAATTGTCTTACCACAACAAATAAGTAAGCAAGGTGATGGATGTGTTAATCAGTACAATGTAAGCATTTCATACTGTATATCAAATCAGCACACTGAACCCCATAAATGCACCATTGTACACAGTTATGATTAAAAAAATTAAGAAAAAAACAAAGACAATCCAGCATCAGCACCCCAAAGACACAAGACCACACCTTCCTGAGCTGGAGCAACACACAGCTTCACAGCACCCGAACCCCAGGCCTTGACCGGGAGCAGACAACGGGCAGGAATGGGCTGAGTCCAAGCACATTGGCAGCAAGCACCTCCTTCCCCGACTCACGGCTCCTCTCCTCCCCTGCCCCACCCTGTTCCTGGACTTGTCTCAGTTATCACCACCTCCACCATGTCCCCTGCACCTGCCTGCTCAAAGCCACATTTCAGCTGCCGTGATGGGAAGGCAGTGACGTTTCCCCAGATGGCACATGCAGGCTGCTGTGCCCACGTGCAGGCAGGACTGGCTGGGATGTAGTGCCATCAGTATCAGGTGCATGGAGCCTGCAAGGGCTGTTCCTGAAGGACAAGGTGGGGGCTGCTCCCAAGGCCAAGCCAGTCTCGGCTCTGGTGGATGTCAATGGCCTGGAATGCCTCAGGCTCACGAGGATGCAGCTCCACTCTCTACCAGGGCTGTCCTGAGAGGCTCTGGTGGTTGAGCTCATCAAACCCTTACTTAACACGGGGTCCTCACTGAGCAGAGGTCCAGGTTTCCCAAAAGAAAATATGTAAATATCCAAGTCCTACAAAATCTGGCCCGAACATTCCAAGACAAGGGCTTTCCTCACAAAGACAGATGTCCTTACAATGTCACCGGCCTCCAGCAAGAGCCATGAAGCCTGGAACACTGCACCCTCCATGTGTGACACCCTTTACAGCCTGGCAGCAACTCACAGGTCACGTACATCTTGGTCCTCATGCAGCCCAGCCTGCCCTATCCCATTATAGCCCCCGTAGGTTTCACAGCACCTGTGGGTCCCCTCCTGCAACAGCCCATGTCCCCTCCAGGCTCCTCCACACAAAACTGTCATGAGCCCCACACAGGGACTCGGAAAAGCACCGAACACTCTTAAGAAGGACTACTGGCTAGATAACAGGACGGAGGGACGGCAAGAAACAGTGATGGGAGGAGGAGGGAGGAGAGGGGGTAAGAGAGAGAGGGAGGAGAGGGGGTGAGAGAGAGAGGGAGGAGAGGGGGTGAGAGGGAGGGAGGAGAGGAGGGGAGAGGGAGGGAGGAGAGGGGGTGAGAGGGAGGGAGGAGAGGGGGGGAGAGGGGGGGGGAGGGGGAGGGAGGGAGGGAGGTCAGGGGGCGGATGAAGGGGGGAGAGAGGGCTCGGGCGTGACGCGGCTTCTCCAGCCG